AAATTAAGTTAGCCGACATCTAAAAATTTTTAGAATTTTTTTTATTGAAAAAATGATTACAAAAAAGTAAAAAAAATTTCATCACTTGTCAAAAACTTTAAAAACTGTAAGTGCAATTTTTTAAAAATATTTCATTGTTTTAATTTAATTTAAAAAAATAAATCAAAAAATTAAAAATGTCGGCTAACTTTATTATTATACATAAAAAAAATAGTGAAATTTTAATAAAATATTCTTTTTTTACTTCAATAAATTTTAAATCCATTGTTCTAAAAAAATTCCTCAAAGAATTAATTTTCAATGAATATTTCAAACAATCCATGGATGTAAATTTAATTATAAATTCCATTAAAAAATATCAATAATTCAAATTACCAATTTCAATCTATTAAATATTATTAACTTCATCTATATTCTTCACATGCGCGATCCCATATCAAGTTGACCCAATTCTCCAAAAGACCAACCAGCTAAATTATTTTTTCATACAGATTATTAATCATCACAAGATAACAATAATTTATTTATAAATAAATTTTCACTTTAATTTTTTCCCCCACATTCGATAGTTATTTTTGTGTAAAAAAAAAAAAACATTTTTACTGAAAACAAATACTTCTTAGGGGAGCTTGGGGTCGCCCCGGTCACCAACATTTAAAAAAATCTACTATACCTTAAATTTTGAATTTTGTTTTATTTTGTACGCTTATTCAGCTGAGAGTAAAAAATAGATTCAAAACTTAGAAATATAGTATTTATTAGTAATAATTAAAAATTAAAAAATTGATTCTCATTTGATCTAAGAATCGGAATCATTTCCGTAAGGCTTTTAATATAGTTTACAGCAAGATAAAAATTTATAATTTTTATGTATATAATCTATAAATCTTCCTTTATAAGTGGGAATTTTTATTATACTGTAATTATTAATCGTTTTCTTTTGAATAAAGTTTATTTTCTCAACTATCGGTTGGGGTCATACCGGTCAAAGCTGTGGGGTAACACCGGTCAGTTTATTCAATTGTTTATTGTTTAACAGCTCGTGTGTTTATTTAAAACTAACCACTATTTTGTAATTAATTAAAAAAAAAAATCACAAAAGAAGCTAGTTAAATTGTCCGATAATGTTAATGAAGAACTCCAAACAAGTAAGTCAGCAGAAGAACCTAGAAAGAATTCAAGGAAACGAATAACTTGCACTCGTGCGACAGATAAATATCAAGTATGGCCTAAAAAACGCAAATTAGTTAAAAAACAGAAAGTTTAAATGTTAAAAATTACCAATATTTAATGTTATTTGCTGCTAAAGTTTCAATAAAAAAATTAATTTTAAATTTTTATTAAATTTTAACAATATAATTCAGAATTTCTTATTTTTAAAATAAAATTAATACTGACCGGAGCGACCTGCCTAATGACCGGGGTGACCCAACACGTTGGGTCGCCCCGGTCAAACTCATTATTTCTATAATTCCTCAAATATTTTTATTTATCTTCATACTTATATTTTTTAGTGATTGCATTTAGTTTTTCAGATGTCAAAGAATTGAATAAAGTCTTTTTTATTATTCCAAAATGATAATTTTAATATTTTTTTAAATTCACTTCTTAGGTGACCGGGGGGACCCCACACTCCCCTACATATATGAGTCACTGGCATAAATCGTCACGTGTCGAGGTCGTGATAACTTGAATGACAATCGTCGTCAAATTATACATATATATCTTTATATACTTTCATATATATAATACATATTTGATATCACCTGAATCTGCAATATGAATCTCATAATTAGATAGTAAACTGTTGTGTCAACAGACAACAAAAAAACTTAAATATAACTTTTTTTCCACATCCACACCTACATATACAATAAATATAATATATATCTGCAGCAGTGTTTTTTAAATGATTACTTACTTTATCTTATTGATTCAACATTATCTGTGACTTATCTGTTTGCTTCTGACATTAATATTCCAAGTTGTACATTCGTGCGAACGCGATAAGATAAAGTGATAATAAATTTTTTTTTATTCTTTGTTATTACTATTACTATTACTATTATTATTTTTTTTATTTTCTGATCACATTGATGACCTAAACTGGCCTTGGACACTTAAGACGCACTAATCATTTTATCCATATTCTATAGTCATGTCATTAACCTTTATGATTTTTTTTTTAAACAACAACAATAAAGCTTGACATTTATTATAATTATAATTATGAATAATTGCCGATTATTTAATTCAAGTTATTTAACGCCTACATTGAATTATTATTTATTACAATTACAAAACGAAAAAAATCTTACTTGCGCAATGGTTATAATTGAGCCATTGTCATTAAATACGTAATTTATATCATTTACGTGATTTATTAGTTAATAAAACTTGATACTTATATATGTGTAATAATTTTAAGTACATAGATGAAAATTTTGATACCGATAAATTTATTTAGTTAATATATTATTAGCAACCTTGCAGTCACTATGTGACTGCTGTTACTTGTGAACTATATCTAAATAAAATTTTGCTTTATTAAATAACGAATTTTGTTAAATTGCATTGTACTTTCTTAAATATTGACATTTTTAAAGATATAAGCTCATCCCGATGTTAGAGTTACCAAGAGCTTTCATTTGAGTACCCACATGCATTTTGATATATTTTTCATGTATACAAATATATAATATTTGTAAATATAGGAAAAACATATCAAAAATGCATGTGGGTATTCAAATGAAAGCTCTTGATAAATGTAAGAACGGGATGAGCTTATATCTTTAAAAATGTCAATAGTTCACAAG